GTATATATTATTCCGATATACAGAAATTAAAATGAAGATGAATCACTAAATTAAAACAGCATGACAGTACTTTAGATATGAAGCCTACGTAAAGGAAAGTTCAAAAAGTTTTTGTTCCAACTTGCATATTAAATCTTCTTGTATTGCATATCCTCTGATAAAGTGCACACATGGCTAAACTCAAAGATTTTTAAAATTCCCCAAGCATGACATTTCTCTAAGCACTTTAGAATGTCTTCCATATGAATCCATGCAGAAGAGCTATTCTCACTAGCCAAGCCTAGAACTCATGAGAAATACTTGATTGTTAAGAACTCATAAACAGGTTTGAGAAGTCTATTAACACAAATTCCCCCTAGGATTAAGTTACTGCTGGCTTTGCTATGAGCAAGGAAAGCAGGCAGGTGCAGGAGAGGTAGGGAAGAGCTTATTTCAGCCTCCATGGTCCTATGCACGCAATCTTACTTCTCAATACATTGCGTCACTCCACGAGTTAGAGCAGTGATGACGCTATTAGATTAGAACCAGCAATAATGGCAAAGACAGTACAAGCTGAAAAGCTAGTTTCCACTGGAAAAGGCAGACTTCCAACCTCTATAAAGCACCTCTGCGTGTGGTCTTTTAGTTATAGACACTAGACTTTCCTATTTCAAAGCTGAATCCCACAAATCCACCGCTGCTGGACTGTCAAAATTCACTGCTAACCATGTATATACAATTCCCTAATGAAAGTCTGACTTTCTGCAAGCCTTGATGGTAACGAAGGATACCTTGGACAAAGTCACCCAGTATTTTTTAACCAACTAGAGCAGGGATTTATGAGAATCGGACTACCATAACAGAACAAAGCTTAAATCTGGGTATACTCTAAGTATTTATAACACTCGTGATTGCTTCACATGCCTTAGCCATGTAGCCAGTCTTAACTCAGAGTTCATGCCTCAAACAAATGTATTAAGTTTTGTTCTAGGTGTGGCTAAAAGCAACCAAGTCAGCATCACCTACTGACTTTTACTGTACTACTTCAGTTTAATTCATATGTGACCAAGTTTTGCCATTTCAGTACTTGATGAATTCATCCTTCATTCATCTATGCCAAAAAATTAATTCCTTTTAGTTCTAGCAGTTAACAGATAAAGTAAACTAACCAAATCACATTTTCCATTTAATTAAAGACTATTTCCACTAGAATCTAATAGTTTTGGAGGGATGACTCTGTGATCCCAAATTTAAAAAATCTTGAAGCAATTTTAATAAGCTAATTTAACTAGTCCCCTCTCTTACAAAAAAGGGAGGAGATGAGCATCTCCCTATAATACATCTTGTAGAATTACCTATTAATCTGTGCCTAATATATCAGGGAATGAGAAAACAAGATTGGAAAGCATAAATGAATTGGAGTCTTCTTAATACAATACTCATGCCTCAGTTAATACTATGAAGTATTATCTTGATAGTATAGTAAGTCTACTCAGCGACAGCAGCATAAATTGCCTAAATATCAATTAAATACTAGTAGCATAAAGTAATTGCAGGAAATCCTTGTATCCTTAGTTGAAACTAAACATATAGGTATACCTAATGCAAATATATACCTAATATACAAGCGTAACACCATACCAAACTGCATATGTCCTGCTTCGTGCCAAAGCAAAACTCCTTTTAACAGAGCTGGGAGATAGTTACTTAACCACACACAACTGGATCAGCAAGATTAAGGAACACTACATTTAAAGTGCAATATAATAAGTCTTAGAAAAATATTCACAATGAAGATTCCAGCTGCATCAGATCAGTGCTACTGAATATTAACTCAATGAAAAACCTGACCTCCCCTCTCTTTGACAGGAAATCATAGACAAGTGCAGTAAAGAATAACCTGTTACTCATCTCAAGATTTATTTCATCAGCTTTTCCTGTTTTCCTGAACATTTAAATAGGTAAGTAAAGGAAAGTAAAGGTTCAGGAAGAATGCAAGATGAATGAATACTGACAATGTTAGATTTAAACTCATTTTCTACTATTGAAAAAGTAGGTAGGTTAAGGACCAATTAAAAAACATGAATTGCTACCAAACCAGAAGTACTCATTCCAAAGCACATGCATAAAAGAATGACTTCTAAAAAAAGAGTGATAAATAAATAAATAATAATAATAATAAAAACTCTTGGCAGTTTCAAAGGTAAGTTTCAAAGCACTAAGGAAATATCAAGTGATCCAACAGTATACCCGAATCTTCTAGTACCTAGACTTACAACGATAACTTTGTTAACAACAGCTAGGAATAAGTAAATATGAGTTTACCAGGCTTCAGGGATGTCATTTAAAACTATAAGCAAACAATTGGAGTCCAAAATATGGGTCTAACAGATTTGGGCGCTGAAAAACCTCATGCAATTCAACAAGGCCAAGTGCAAGGTCCTGCACCTGGGGAGGAATAACCCCAGACACCAGGACAGGCTGGGGACTGACCTTCTGGAGAGCAGCTCTGCAGAGAGGGACCTGGGTGTCATGGCGGACAAATTGACCATGAGGCAGCAGTGTGCCCTCGTGGCCAAGAAGGCCAATGGGATCCTGGGGTGCATTAAGAAGAGCGCCTCCAGTTTTAGGGAGGTGATCCTGCCCCTCTACTCAGCCCTGGTGAGGCCGCATCTGGACCTCATTCTTACAAACAAGGAAGGACTGGTCAGAGATGTGAAAGTTGGAGGCAGCCTTCTTTGCAGTGACCACAAGATGGTGGGTTTGAAGATCCAGCAAAGAGGGAGCAGGGCAAAAAGTAGGATCACAACCCTGGACTTCAGGAAAATAGGTTTTGGCCTCTTTAGGGCCTGCCATTTAGGTGCTGCCATCCAGAAAGACTTCAACAGGCTAGAGAGATAGGCAGAGAGGAACCTCATGGAGTTCATTAAAGGAAAATGCCAAAGGAAAGATTGGTCCTTCCTACTCCTCGAGTAGTCCATTATCACCTTGTTATATCTTTTGGGGAGTTTTCCCTTCCCAAGTTTTGCAACTCTTTGTGAATATGGTCCTTTGTCACCTTTTGCCCCTCTACTCAGCCCTGGTGAGGCCGCATCTGGAGTATTGTGTCCAGTTCTGGGCTCCACAGTACAAGAGGGATGTGGAGCTGCTGGAGAGAGTCCAGCGCAGGGCCACAAGGATGATCAGGGGCCTGGAACATCTGCCCTATGAGGAGAGGCTGAGGGAGCTGGGCCTGTTCAGCCTGGAGAAGAGAAGGCTGAGAGGGGACCTGAGCAGTGTCTATAAATACCTCAAGGGAGGCAGTGAGGAGGATGGTGCTGGCCTCTTTTCCCTGGTGGCTACCAACAGAACTAGAGGTAATGGCCACAAACTGAAGCACCCAAAGTTCCACAGGAACTTCAGGAAAAAATTTTTTTAACAGCAAGGGTGACAGAGCACTGGAACAGGCTGCCCAGAGAGGTTGTGGAGTCTCCTTCTCTGGAGATCTTCAAAACCCGCTTGGATGCAGTCCTGTGCCACGTGCTCTAGATGACCCTGCGTGTGCAGGGGGGTTGGACTAGATGATCTCTAGAGGTCCCTTCCAACCCTAAGCATTCTATGATTCTGAATGAAACCTGAACTAGAATATCAGCTTAACTTCAAGAACAGTTCATAAATTCTCTTCTTTTTCCCAGGTGTTAAGGTAAAAGGACATAAAATACAAAATAAAATAAAATTAAGAGCAAGAGTTCAAGTCAAAGTTACAAGCCCCAGTTACCACATATAACAAGTGCCAGGCAGGTGAGAAATAAAGCAACCTGTAAGAAGTTTCAGTGTTACACACTTCCTCAGCAGAAGGTAAGAAACCCTGCAACTTCCCCTTCAGAAAGGGCAATACACCAAAACATTCCAGCAGCAGTATCAGCATGGCTACAGTCTTTCTCTCCACCCTCAAAATTCAAGCTGCTCTACAGCATGCCTTAAGACTTTCCTGGGCTTACCTCCTTGTCTCCATCTTTTTGTCTTATTAGCTGGAATACTAAGCCACATACTAGCAAATGAGAGATACTTTTGTAACTCTTGATCATAGGCTGCTGCTACAGACTGCCAGAAGTCAACTGAGCACCACAGTCCCAAATAAGTCAAATCTGGAGTAAGTTCAAACAGTTTTTAGAAAGAACTTTAAAGAAAATGATCCAATTTAATTTGCACGAGTGCAATAGCTGACAGACATGTGAACATAAAAATCTGCTTTATTTTTGCAATCCATTTTCCAAAATGCTGTAATAAATCCAATCACTTCTTTTAAAAATATGCTTTCATACCACTATTATAAGCTAAACAATAAGAGAAATCTTCTCATTCATTATCCTCAGTTCAGTTAGAATAAACACATATGATGGATTAACAAATAGTAAGATTAAATATTACTTTTCTATACTTACAGACTATATAGAGCATACTAGCATACTTGCTAGTATTTCCTTAAAAAATAGCTAATTAGACTTAAGGCTGACTTTTTAGCTCAAAATAATATTAACATGGATTTCATTACAAGTACACTCTTTTCTCTTTCTTCTTACCAGCATAAGACTGGATTAGGCCAAGAGCAGCAACGCACATGACATTTATTCTGAGGAAGCAGCACATCATTGAGCATTTTCTTTGAAAACAGTCTATAGAGGTGTCACAAAGTGCAGTAAAGTAGGCATACTTTACACTAGAAAGAATAGTAAGGACTGCGATAGATGCTACCTCCTTTAGGAATTCATTCCATGATCTTAGGCTGAACCTAGGGATTCGCTCACCTCGAAAAGCAATCTCAATCACTCCCTGTAGAAACCTCTAGTGCAGCAGAGATGAAAGATTATTTATTCCAGCTGCAAGTTAAGACAATTGTTTTCTTATTGGAAATTCCTTGACCGATATCACTAATTTAATATTAAGGAACATAATTCACCATATCAATATTATTTTTGCTAAAAAATGGCAAAAAATAACATCCTGAAACATGAAGATGGCAATTCTGAAATAGCTCTTACTGTAATCACAGCCTTGCTCAGGCAGATAGAGCCTCTGCAGCCATACTCTGTTTCATCTTCTGACTTGTAATAACTGAGCGTGTTGCTCTTCAGAACTACCCATCGATCCTGCCACCCATGAATGTAGTTGGTCCACTGCAAAAAAAAAAAAAAAAAGAGAGAAAGAAAGAAAGAAACAGAAAGATTAGCTAATAGAGAAATAATGATGAAAAAAAGTTTTGTTGATATTTCTCAAGTTCCATATACTAGAAAAAAAAACTTGAAAGTTCTTGCCAATTGAAGACTTGATTGGTGTTCTGCTCATAGCTCTTAAAATGACCTTTGCAAACCACTTATTAAAAATCAGGTTTAAAGAAAAAAAAAACAAAACCAAAAACAAGAATGTGTTGCTTCAAATGAAATATAAGACAACAGAGCTTTTCATTGCCAGCTAAAGAGTTATGTTAAAAATACCAATGACAAAAAGTAGGTGCATGGAAGAAATTAAACATTCATTGATAAGTTGAGTTTTAGTCTTCCAATTTAGAATCAGGAGTTACACAGCAAGCTCAACTTCAAGCATAACACTAAATGTGTTTTTATTATTATTATTATTATTGTAATTGAAAGATAATTTCAAAGTAAAGATCTTAATCAATTATCTAGTTCTCTTCATATACATACACACTTGCCATTACCACATCAGATACAGTTTACAACAACTATTAAATAACTGATTACTCTAGAAGCAGACATTTAAATATGGCTTGGAGACTGTTTTCAGTGTTCACACTCTCAGACACGTTACTTTAGATTTTAATTCAGCAAATGCCCCATCATCATAATACTGAAGCTTTTCTAGTGATCCCACTCGTGGAATATTCCAGTAACAAATCCTAGATTCATCACACTTTCCTCCTTTGACACAGTTAAGGGAGGCAAATATAGCAGTCAGAACTTCTCATTCACTGTTGCAACAAGAATGTAATGAGATACAAGACTCCTTAAAGTATTTTTTGTACAAAGAGGTCACAGTAAACTAAAAGACTATTAGTTCCTGCATCTAGATACCTGTACACCAGGAACAGATGGTTCCATGTCAAAGTCCTTAACTTGTATTCACCTTAAAGTTGCAAACAACAAGTAAAACAGAAAAAAAGAAAAGCCTAGAATTTTAAAATGCCTTAAAAGACCAGTAAGATGTGCTTTTAATAAGCTTCTCGTACAAAATTATTGTCTTTTCTTCAGAGCATCTCTCCTTACCAAAGGAGAGAAAAGCTCAAACACTGGTATGCATTCAAGAAATTGCACCCTACTCTTACTGATTCTGAATTTAATTATACACAGATTTTTTTAATAAAATATTTTCACAGTACTAAGTTTGGTACACTAGCATTTCATTTTATTTGCCTCAGTTATTACTGAGGACTAAGGTATTACTGGCAAAAGGGAAGATTAGCCCTCAAGAATGCACACTGCAACAGGTTTCATGACACTTCAGATGAGAGTTCCTGCATTCTCACAAGAAAGGCAGCCCTGGCTACAGGCCGCAAAACCAGCTAGAAAAGTGTGAAGCCTCCATACACATAGGTTTATAAGCAGCAGCAGATCTTCAGAAGCAGCCATGGCTTCACCTACTACTCCTTTAAGAAACAGCACCCACATCTAAAATACAGAGTTTGCCAACATGAAAATGATTCATACCCCACAAATACCTAAATTCCTACTAATAAGAAAAAATCTAGCCAAAGGAAAACTTTGTAGAAGAAATAAAATTAGCAATAAGACTACACTGCTAAGCCACAATATCACATTTCAACCACTGTAACATCCCTCGTGCAGCCTGTCCCTCTCCCATACAACATTAAGAGGGCAACACCTCACAGGGGGAGAGCCAAGCCCTTTTCTCTTCAGCATTCCTCCCGTCTCTGGGCTCAGAAACACTGTGAATTGGAAAGAGCTCAGAGTCCCTCACAAAAATTCGAGTGCTGGTTCCGGTACAGTTTTCTTCGTATCCAGGGCCTGCTCATGAGCTCGGGATCCCATGACCTGGGCGTTCTGCCCTGGCTTATACCCATTCCTATGACGGAGTACAGGAGAGGAAGTCACAACGGAGTGCTCTGAACTGCTCCAAAGACATTTCAATGTTATTCTGAAGTTGTTTGTTATAATACATATGCATGTATATATATATATATATATACACACATATCTCCATATCTAAGCTACATATGGAGGATTTCTGCTTCCAAATTAGTTATACAAGTACCTTTAAAGTAGTGCTAAAAATAATTTTTCCCCAGCCTCCCTTACCAGTCATCTTATTTTCACTAATAAAAAAATAATTAAAAACATGAATAAATAAACAAAATCGCGAACCCCCACGCTCTGGACAACACGCACTTTTTGGGAGAGGGAAACGCGCAGCCCGAGGGCCCTTATCCTGCCTCCCACCGGCCGCGGGAGGTGTCGCGGACACCAGGGCTAAAGGCTGCGCCGCTCCCGCCCCAGCGCTGCCGGAGGGGACGAGGTGACACCGGGGAGTGAGGCCGCGGCGAG